CTGTAGAATCGYTATGTAAGGTGTTTGATTTCAACCAAAACATTGTCTTACAGAAAACAAATYAAGCTCRATATCGTTTCAAACCGAAACCAAATCGCTSTAAGCAATCAGAATTTATCCAGTTCCAAAGTTTGGGCAAATTTGGCTGTGTAACGTTCAATTTGTTGAGCARTTTAGGTAACATTATTAGAAAATTAAATTAAATCRMTAAAAATAAATTAMWTCAATTAAAWCMGYGGMAAATTCGMTWWTWRTAYTTYTWAWAACTTTTATTAGGCTACTTAATTAAGCWTAATTTTTATAACGCTCATACAAATCTTATAGAAAAAGTTGCGTATATTTTCGATAAAATTTCCCATCTGTTATGTTTCGTTACCCACCGTGAAAAACTCATAACACAACAAAAACTTGATGTGAATGCAAATTTTCCAAATTTATGTATCTCGAAAGTGTTCGTAAGTTTGGAAACACGTTTTCCATTAAATTCGAGCCCATAATAAAATTGTTCTAGTTTACCCTCGCACGACCGTAATGCCCGGCGTGAAGAATAAGCGAAGAAAGTTTTCGCCCTCTTTCAGAAACTATAAATATTTTAATGTATACATTATAAAAATTAGACGTCTGTTATTTCGCTTGCGTATTTTTTATTTTTCAATCCTTCCAATGGGCTCGTTTGTCTTAAGCTATGATATTTAGGCTTGCAGCGAACTTTTCACTAGCGCTAGCAAAATTTTGTGTAACTTCATAAGAAACCATGTAGAACTTTTTTTGCAACCATATTTTTTCTGTATCTGCAATATTTTAGTTATTTAATATTTTTTCCTTTATAGACAAAGCAAAAATTGAAACTTCTGGGTTTATGATTCAAAACTCCTCAATATTTTGCCAGCTCATTTAAGATGGAGGTTTTGTCCACAATTTTTCCAAAATTTAAAACTAAAGCGAAAAAATATTTGATTGCTAAAACATTTCATGGGATCAATTAATTTCCAGGTGAAAATGTTGTTGAATGTCCAACTTTAAGAAAAATTTAAATTTAAACACAAAAACCCTGGAAATGGGAATGGATACAATTTATGGGGTGAAAACGGTTTTTTTGCGATTTGCGGCGAAAGGTGACGAAAACGTTCAATACAAAAGCTGTAGATAATGAAAAAAGCAAAAACTTTTATATTTAGAATTTTTTGAGATAACCTCAAATAAACTTTCAAAATGACAAAAAGCCGACCGAACAAAAAGATCAAGACAATTGTTCGTCGAAGATACTGTTTTTGAAAAATGTACATAACTCGAAAACTAGTCGTCTTCTGAAATGCCAAAAATCGTGCTTAATCAACACCAAAAAAGCTATATTTTTACAAATTTTCGTATACCTAAATTAAATTATTTATGCGCTAGAAAAAAAATTAGATAAAAATGCTCGGGTTTTTTACCATTTTGACGGTTAATTTGAAGTTATGTCAAAAAGTGTTGAATTCAAAAATTTTAGAGCTTTTGATTGTCTACCACTCTGCCTGAACTCAACCCCTGAAAAAACGTTTTCAGGGGTTGAAACTGCATTCCTATTTCACAATTTCCAGCGTTTTCGTGTTGACATTTAATTTTTTCTTAAAACTGGAACTTTAACAACATTTCCACCTGGTTCTTCCCTGTTATTATTTCTTTATTATATCATATTCGTTTCGGCACCAGCCTAAACGCGACCTTTGACATGTATAAACCCTGTTGTAAGTATGAATAAAATTTATTTGTTTGCTTGTTTGGCACAATTCAGCAACTTCCAAGTAAAAATAAATACAGATATTCCATTTAGGTAAATTTCTATGATAAATTCTGTTGAACCTATGTGCCCTGAGCCCTACTAATCGTTACATGCACGAATGTTGAGATTCTCTAAACGAACATAGTTCAACCGCCAAACACGTAAATACCGTGGGCATCGAGGCGAAAAACAAATTTCCAATATAACCAAAGTTCCGATTCATAGTGCGGCCACGAACGTAGCAGTTTACCTCAAAATTAAATCAATCCCTAAAGTTAGTTAGTTAGGCAATTTGTATTATGTTACTATTACACATTCTTTGGGTCATTGCGCTGCCTAGTTAGACTTTTGTTAGCAGGGTTATAGCGACATGCGATTAAAAACACCACCTTAGAAATAAAGTCTTTTAATATTTTTATTTTAAATACATTAATATATTACAATGATAAAAACAATGACATTATAAGGATCTTATATGCAACTCTCCTGTATCCGATTGGATGTGGTGACCACTTCGGGCCCCCGATATTTATGGGTGAGCGTTTGGGACCCCGTAATCAACGTCGGATTGTGGGGGTTTGTCCGGTTAGGCCTCTGGAGACTTCGATATATCTGGAAAATGTTGATTAGCACTACTATTCTCCCTATCATCTTAATCGTTCATTACTGTTTGATTCGGGGCATGTAATTCTTTGGCAACGTGTTTAAAGGCGTATCCTTCGCCCTCATCGTCTTGGTCGTCTTCTTCGCGGCAACCAGGTGGTTCGTACTCGTATACTTTCATAAACCCGTGAATCGGTCTTCTTTCTGCAACAAGCGGATCTTCGATCAGCATTCAATTGATTGGGCCTTGTTTCAAAACTTACCATACTGATTTCGGATTATATCCGGATCCGTGGCTTCTATGGAGTTTCCATTCCGAACCGCTTCAGCTGTTATGGTGTGCTCAATGGAACCGCTGGAGGTTCGCATTCCAGTTATGGAACCATCGACAATCAGGTCATCTGCATTGATAACGGCTTCCATAGGAACATGCTTTGTACTGTTGCTATCCGGCCTGTTAAATTAGCATTTGAAAAATTCCAGGCGCTGCTTTAAACCGGGTAACTTAGTTATGAAAATAAACCCCTAAACAGGCAAGCAAAGTCCCTTTCTGCAACTTCTTTGCTTGATAAGATATTCAGAATGAGAATGAAAAATCGTAGTGGCTTTAAGAACGGAAAACGCGATAGCAAGATTTTTTTAATACTCGCTTTATTGCAGGTAACGCGAGGGCCGCTTACTTCCGTTTGTTTCGGATTGCAACTTTTAGCATTTCATAAAACTGTTTCTGAATGGTGTAACCATTTTCTGCTATGGCTCTTACATTGGATGAATAAATTCGCAATTGCAGCGTTCCGAGTTTTATGTTGCAGTTGTTCGGCCATTGTCGCAAAATCACTATCCTATTTAAATTTATGAAGATTGTTTAGTGATTTTCCGTGAAAGTGGCGCTTTAGTGGATTGTTAATGAGTGAGCAATTTGTGTTTTCTGGAGAGAATGGAATTGCCGAAGTGGAAGAACATTTCTCAATTTTTAAATAGCTGGCATGGAATTGAATACCTTTGGTATTTCAAAGTTTTTTAAAAAGGTGGATTTACCTGTGGCATGGCCTGGCGTAGTGTTTTCTACATAGTGCTACCAACACTAGACATACTCCGGTTGCCAAAATTGCTGCTGTTCCTAAAAGGCCCATTATCAGGGGGTTGATTGGCATACTGGCAGTCGAACCTGCAAAAAATACAGTCAGTTTTTTAGATTTTTCGTAGCAATTTGGGTGATAGCTATTTTCAGAAATTGAGGTTTTCTTTAGAGCGTCCGATTTGTGCGCCTTATGTGCCTTAAAACACAGTAGAACTGTTTTCTTTAATTGAAGGTTGTTTGAAACTTTTTCCAACATGGTCAAGGTCTCGATTTTTGTGAAATGTTTTTCCAAAAAATGGGGTGTTGACTCATAAAATTGTAAAGATTCGTACCCAAAATGAATGGGAATCCAAGTTCCTATTGGCTGTTTGGAGCATCAGCAGTCAAAATAACCGTAAATAGTAAAACAGATAATAATTCATTGAAAATAATCGGTCGATGAGAATCGGTCTAAGTAGCTATTTTTGCGCATTTTTATACTATTCTTAATGCAAGTAGCTTCAAAGTTCAGTTTGCCAAAAATGTATAAATTCGTCGATCAATCACTGAAACAGGCCGACTTTGAGCAAATTAATGCATGCTAAGTACAAATAAATTTCATCTCTTTGGCTAATATTATACAGGGTCTGCCAACGAGAAACACAGCTGCCTTCATTGGGGGCAAGTGATCCAAGTTTTAGATCACCACATTTTAGATCACTTGCCTCCCGTGTACTCTACAATTTTCAAGTTTCTCCTGATTATAGTTTGCCGTATACACCCTGTATAAGGTTTTTACCCCACACATTTCTTCTTATTGCCACGATTTCAAACACATGTTTAGGTCAACGAATTTTTCACAACGTGGCAAGTCAATAAAAAATGCTGAATGAAATTATCAGGAACATAAACGGCGCTTCATTGCGACAATTTAAGTGACGATTCTGGGGACCCAGATATTAGCAGCATTTTTAACTGTTCAACTTGAGAAACATATTTTTCTGCTCGAAGGACCAAAAACACAAAGAACGGTTCTTATGGCCTCTCCATGCATCGCACTTTCACCTCTATTTTATTCATCGCATGTTTTTCAAAATAAGTTAGACTACTGTGCCGTGATCCGTCAACCTTTATCGACGGATTTACGGCTCTTTCTTCGCGGGTCCCAAATGAATTCTTCTCGTTTTGGGCAATTTAAGTCTAAATGTACCAAATAACGTACCAAATTTCAAACCAAATAACGTACCAAATAGTGCGGTCAACATGATAAAATATTCCATATTTGAACAGTTATAAAACTAGGCAAAAGCTTGCTATTTAACTAAATCTAATCAATATTTCTATGGACGTTACCAGCACAACGCTCATTAAGCCCCGATTATCGTGCTAGTTAAAACTTTCAATGTATAAAAAGAACCGACTATAATTTTCCAAACTTCATTATGCCAAATGGATTTTGTTGATATTCGCAACCGCCAAGTTAAGTGGTCTGAGTGCAGCTGGAGCAATTTAATTAAAACGAAACTTATGAGCCTCATTTCTGCTTTGAATCCTCCCAACTGCTCTCAATAAGTGAAATTCGATAAGTTGCAATTTCCCCGTACAATTTCATAACAATTCCAGAAGTCGAAAGGCGGAGTTCTAGGAAAATGGATTTGTGCAGAAAAATTATAAGTATCCGGGGCCAGAAAACTGAGAAGTCAAGTCATTATTTTCCAATTTCGTTGGGCAATCTAAAAGTAAATTGTATCGAGCAAGAAAAACGTGTAGTTCGCGTGTGTGTCTTGCAACGTGACTTGCAAAAGCACTTCGTAACAATCAATGGAACAACCTCGTTCTTTTTGCCCGTTTGAATAATGCACATTTGTCTTAAGTGAAACGCGAACAACTTCAGATCTAGTTTTACGAGCCAACGTCAAAGTGTGTTTTCGATTTTATCGCGACGCCGAAAAATTGTTATCTATAAAAGTCGGCGATTGGCTGATAGGAGGAAATATTCCATTTTTACAACTTCTGGATTTTATGATTCCCGTTGAATTTATGCGAAGCAGTTTCACTAGAGTCAATTTCACAATGTCCGTCATTTTCAACTCGCTTTGGTCAATTCAGTTTGGGAGGATTTACAAAGTCAAACAAGCAACGCATATAAATTGACAAAAAATCGATATCAGTATGCAACAATGCTTTTGGTTATTTCTCCGGTTCTATTAATGGTTTGAGAACCAATTTCAACTTAGCATTTGGTGTCTGACAATAATATTTGTTATGCATTTCGATAGAAAAACCCATGTATTTTTAGGACGTAAATATTGTCGCGGTTTTGGAATATTCCGCGTCTTCTTTATGGGATTTGTGTTGCTGTTTGCTGTACACGCCCTGATCTCAATTGGAATCAATTTGCTATGGAATTTACTGGAAAATATCCAAAAGTTACTTGTAGGTGTAAGGTAAAGTGAACCTCCCACAGTCACGATGTAATTTTCTATTCATTTGCATAATATCGAGAGCCAAAGCTGAAATCAATAATATTTGCACACCACTGACGAACTTCGACGGCGATTTAGGCGTGAGCAAATACTAGACGGAATCCTAGAAAATAGGCCAATGAATTTTTAAAAAATTGATGGATATTTTTGTGGAAGTTGAAGTTTTAAACAGTTTTCAGGAAGTGTTTGGAAGTTTGGTTTAAGTGAGCGAGTTTTAACCAGAAATAATTTGAGTGGTCATCAAATCCAAACCGGCTAAAGAAACTCTAACAAGATTGGTAAAAGGAGGCCGGTTTTTGGACCCAGAAAAATAATGTTTCATTTGCAGCTATTTTTCACCAAATAGCATCACGGTGACCAACAAACCTCAACATCTTCTAGCAAATCTTTAGCTGCACTAAATATTCTTTTATGAATCTTTGCAAACTTTGAATGTTAGAGAACGGAACCATCTTGACACATTCTCGCAATACTCCTAAAATTTACGATGTTAAAACTTCGAAAAAAAACCTTAAACTTTTTCTTTCAAAGTATTGACGCACAAAGCCCAGTAAAGCTCTTGGGTTATACGCCTGAAAATCCAGATCAACCCTAAAAATGTCACAAGCTGGAAAAAACTTCCACTATAAAAAAAGATTAACGGACGACTATGTTCGCTTTTGATAGCGGGTTCAATGTCGTAAACATGACGACGGTCAGGGAATAGTTCCCCTGATGAAAAGCAACCACCCCTTCTGAGGCCTAATCTAAATATCAATTGATAGGGCTTGTTATCGTAAATGACATGTTTTTATTGTTAGTTCTTGTTCCCAGTGCCGCTGCTTTGATCAATTGTTTGCTGGTTGCTGTTTTAATTCAAGAGTTTTTTGATTCGAAGAACTTTCTTGGTCAACAGTTTGCATAATAAATTCCCTAGGCATTCCTTTAGCTCTGAACCTTAACATAAAGCTTTTGCAGATTTTTTTTCAGGGCATCAGGACTGATTATTTTGAACACTCCAAAGAATGAGACTCGTGAGCTTCGCAGTTCATAATTCATCCCCAACGTGCGGATGTCGGCCGGACTCCTCTTGATTTGTAACGTACATTTAAGGTACTGTAATGTCTCGCTCATATCCTAGATGTGGGGCATCATCTTCTGTCGTTTCTTTGAGTGTAAGTTTTGAATGAAATGAAATGTGGTTTTTCAGAAAAAGCTTGCATATCCAGATCATGATATGAAAAGTCCAGAAAGGTGAATTTTTCTAGCGACAAGAAAAACAATTTAACGCAATTTTTTTTATGATTTACTCGATTACTTATTGAACTTAAGCTCTTATTAAAATAGTTATAAGCAAGCTTGAAAAAAATGGGTTTTCAAAAAAATCAATAGACTGACTAATATCACTCGTTATATCCTCACTCATTCCATACGCACTTTAAATTAAGAAAATATATTGATAATTTTACATTACCATGAGTTTAAAAACGAGGAAACCATGAAAAATGAGTTGCAAATGCATATATTACAAGAAACATGTAAACATATTTTTCTACTCCAAGCCAGATAACATTATACGAATAATGTTAATCTACTATTTTATTTCTACGTACTAACAAGAAGTAAACTTAAAGGTTGTATTTTAATACAGCAATATTGGAAATTGTGTATTCCAATTTAATGATGCTGAAAGGAACGATGGTGTTGTTGCTTGATTTTAAATTTATTTTTATATGTAATTCGGAGACTTTTTATTTTCGTAATTTTTAAATTTTTTGTTAATTTAGTAGGTAACATTTTAAATTGTTCAGAATGTTTCAGTTCATCGTTCATCAATTCAATCGATTTTTAGGCCCCTTAGATTCTGAACCGTGCTGTGCCGGTTCACAATCACCTACACAACATTACCTACTGTTGAACCAACAGAATTAAGCTTAGAAAAATATTAAAAATAACTTTGCTGTAGATATTGAACATCGCAGGGAATTAATGTTTTTCTGGCACTTTTTGCATCATAACCATAATCTGCTGGCAGATTTATAACTGCACCAGAAATTTTCCAATAGAGGATTCTCTTCCAATTTAGTCCCTAATCGACGTATTTTTTTTATTTTTATTATAATATTAAATTATTTGGGTTCATCCACTTCAGGCTTTCAGATGTTTGTTTCGTTATCTCAAGCTGATTTCAAACAGTAAAAGCTTTTTAGGACATTTTTAGAGTGTTGTAGAACATGGTTTTACAAGCTCTTACGCTCTCTTCTTTTTTTGCATCAAAAACTGCTGTAAGTAGTTTTTCGGCTTACACTGCAATTTGTTCTGTTTATTGCTCTTTTCTTTCGTTTCCCCATTTCCCAGATTCGTTAAAAATGCGTTGACTTTTCCTTTCAATTTATATCATTCCAATGCATCATTTTTTGTTTTGGATATATTCAACGATTTTTCATACCGCATTGTTTAGTTGTAGATTCATTGCCTTCTCTTCCGAAATACCTGCCGCATTTTTATCTTTTCTTTTCATTACTGTTATATCCCCAGTCGTATCCCACTTTTACGTTGGTTTTTCCTGCGTTTGCATTATTTTTTAGTTGCGTGCTAAGAACTCTCTTTTTCCGCATAGTTTTCATCTATCTCATCTGGTAAAACATTTCGATAATTTTTTTCTAAACTGTATTCACTTTCAGCTTCCTCATTATCTAAATTAGTCTCGATTTCCATTTTTCGTTCAATTATATCACGTGAATTATTTTGTGCGCTGCTCTAATATCATGAGCAAGCAAAAAGTTGTTTAAAGCAACAGTTTCACGTTTATTTTTGTAAATTATATATTGCAAGAGATCGTTTAGAAAAAACAGAGATACTTAACTAATCAGAAAGAATTTAGAATCATCTGATTGTTCATCATGGTCAGAACTTACACTTTCAGACAGTTTTTTGGAATAAGCATTATTGATTTGACTTTCCATAAAAACTTTTCTTAAAATTTTGAAGTTTTTTGAAGTTCGATTAAATTAAATAAACTTCGACTTGCTCGGTTCAGTTAAAAATAAATATTTAACTATTTCATCATGATATTAAGTTGTGAATTTTTCTTTTGATCTTTGAGCATTGAATGCTCGGATGTACGCAATCATATTAGAAACAGTCGGACTAAGCAGAGGATCAATTAGTTAGCACAAAATCGAAGATATCCAGTGCTTAAGGAGATGGCAATTTCTGAAAAAAGTGGAGTTACACACTTTTTTGGGACAATATCCGCGTTTGTTCATCATCAAGATCAAACATCTTATTAATATAAACAATGCGACTTAGGTCCAGTTTAGATGATAAAAAGCTTTAATTTGGGGGCTGGAATATGATGGGACGGTTATGATTGCCTCCTGAATAGGCGAGTTGTTAAAGTAAACGACCCGTATATCCGTAGTGCACACGTGTAAATCGTACATAATGGTAATTGTACATGGCGCTCCCGAACAAGGCCGTAGTTCAAACGGGCCCTTGGCAGTCCATATTTCATTGGGGACGTTGCGGACGTCCACCGGACGTTCGCGGTTAGCAACCTGCAACGCTCAACGGCATATTTGCCTGCATTCAGTCGCTATTAGCAGCATCCGTGACGAATTAATTTTTATTTTTGCTGAATCCATTCCTAGAAGACGCTGATGACGTGCAAACTCATTTACTTCCAGCAAAACGTGAAAGGAACAACTCTAAACTCTTCCATCCGGCAACTAAATATGTGCCTTACCTTGTAATTTGGCCACTCCTTTGAAAGTTACGGGATCGATCACTGTCGCATCGCTTCGGCCCTTTTTGTTTACGGCATACAACATGATGCGGTAACTAGTTCCCGGGTCCAGCCCATCAGCTACAAAGATGGGTGCCTGTAAAATTTTGCAACTTCACTTTTTGCCTCCTGATAAGAACTCCGAGGTATCAATCACGTATCGAACAGGGCAAGCTTGGTCTAGCTAGTTTTTCGTCATTAACGATGGGTTTTATGTGTAAGAAATGAAAGTGTTTGTTATGAATAAGCACAAATCGAATTTTAACTGTTTTCTATGTGACTCTTAAACGTTTTTAGTGATGAGCAAAAGAGAGACTTGCATGGTCTTGGTTTGGGCCTTGCTGTGAGTCTTGCTTTTAAATAAGGTGTAAAACAAAATACAATCAATTCAATAATAATCATAAAATAAACAGATAATCACTCGGCACAACATTTCCATTATAGTGTTTAATGTCGACGTTGTGCCTAGCCCTTCGTGCACGACACTGATTTTAAGGTGGTTTTGATGTAAAAACACTGCGAACACACCGATTGATCACTTAGTATTGAAAAATCAGTATCCTTCCTACTTCGACACTAAACACTCTAATGCGAATATTGTGCAGAACGCTTGGGGCACGACGCTGATTTTAAGATTATTTTGGCATAAAACACTCTAAACCTGACGATTGTTCCTTTTGAGCCAAAAATCAGTGTCGTCCCGAAGGTCTCGGCACAACTTCGACTTTAAATACTATAATGGATATGTTGTGCCGAGCCCTTCAGACACGATACTGATTTTAAGGTGGTTTTGATGTAAAAACATTGCAATCCTACCAATTGATCACTTAGTGTCGAAAAATCAGTGTCCTTCCCGAAGAGCTGGGCACAACTTCGACATTAAACACCCCAACGCCATTGTTGTGCCGAAAAAAACACTGTGAACTTTCCTATTGAGCATTTTGTGCCGAAAATAAGTCTAAACTTCGGAATAAATTTATTATGACTTAAACAGTGAATATAAATATAATTGAGACTTTCCAAACCAGCAAAGCTCATAAAAAACCATTACACTTTAGCTCAAAAAAATAAAATTGCAAACCCCAATCCCCTGCTTATTCAATATAATGCTTGAGTTTACTCTATCGCAAAAATTGATACTTTACCTTATAGGTTGTGATGTTTAATCGCGATTTGAGCCCGGGCAATTCCAAAATTTCCATTTCAAAGCTTTGGGTTAACCCTCCGTCATAGCCCTCAACGCATTCCACTTGCAAAGAGTTGGTGGTTTGGTTTAGCAGCGTGCAGTTTTGCAGATGAGATGGACGGCCTGAAAAGAATATTAGTAGATATTGAATTTTTCCAAAAAACCAGCCAAAGAGGGAAATGATTCAATCTTCAATATCAAATCAAATAAGCTTTTAACGAGCATCAGAAAGAGCTAGAGTTTGGCGAAAAGTTGCTACTATTGGAACGCTAAAACCATATATATGAAACTCGCTGTTTCCAGCAGGCAATTTTCGTTTGGTCTTCCCTGGAAAATTTCCATAATTGATTTATTCCACCTGAATCCATTTGTTTATGTTAGATAAATGAACCGTAATTAGAACAGTTTAGCGAACATATTTGGTAATCGACCAGTTTATCAATAACCACCCCCCAAGCACACAAGTAATGTTTTGTTTGGGTATTTAATATATTTGGTGCCACATTGAACCGAATAATGTCTACCCCAGCCAGTAATAGTCAAAGTGAAATAGATTTCAGATAATCAAGCTGGGAAAATCTAAAACAATTTTTCATTTACCACGCCTGGGAGAGGTTGAGCAATCTGATTGAACCGGTAGAAAATAAATCTCATTTAGTCGGCCAATGGCGCTAACGAGTTCGGGCTCACTCTTCTATTCCGAATCATTCTGGAAAAAGTCGGGCACAAAAGATGTCAAATTCTAATTGTTCGCGGTTCACTAAAGCTCGACGGCGTTTGAAATATTCAGCAAAGAGTCCCGATTTGTCTGTCGGTTCTTTTTCACGAATGCATCGTATTAATTTTCGTCGCGATAGTATGATACAGCAATTTTCCATCGGATTAATTCCCTTTCATTGCGTTTGAAATAGCGCTGGAACCAGTTGGAGCAAATCGCGTTTGGTGAATCAAGACGGAAAAACGGTTTTATTAAATGGGAATTACGAAAACTCTGATCTCAAGTAGAATCGCTATAACACACCTTTTACTCTAAATGAGGAATTTTGTGCGAAATTGTGAAATGTGTGAAAATTAAGGTAGTTCCAGTGATTAAAGAAGGCCAACAGTTAACATTTTGTTGGATATTTACACAGTTAAAAAGCTGGTCAAATTTTGACTTCAAATTGCGCTTTAAATTTTTTTCGTTGTTTCACCCTTGAGAATTTGTGTTTGAGTTAGTTTGTGTTTCAGAATTAATTTCTCTCAATCAACACCAGGTAAA